TTATGCAAATGAAGCCCGGGAAATTCAAATCCCGGGCTTCATTTGCAAGTGCGGTATGCCTACATTACCCTCCTAGTTCGAACTAGGAGGGTAGTGTAGACATACCCTTTCTCAGTGCCTGAAACTTGACATCCTGGGGTTTAAATTCCAGAAGGGCAGATCACTCACAGCTACAGTTGAAGTTAGTGGCAGCGATGCTTTAAACATATTTCATGTTCTTAATACTTTGAAAGATCAGGTGTCAGTCTTGGACACTTTTGAGTTTAAGTTTTCTGTGCCTCAGTTCCCTATTTGTAAAATGGGAATAATGTCCCCCCTTTACCTCCCAGGGATATTGTGAAAATAAATGTTCCAAATTTCTCCGTTTCCCCCCCCCCCATCCTTTGGTTGTATTGGTGCAGTTGCTCTAATAGCTGGCCAATGGTGGTTGAAATTGGTGTCTCAGTAAAGACACTTCTGAAAGTCCATTTGAATACTTGGACTGCAAACTTGGGTTGGGTTTCTTAAATCCAGAAACTGGTTCAAGACCAGTCAAATTTTCCCCTTTCTCTTTCAGCACCATTGCACTATAGCTTGAAAAAAATAGCCAAAAATTACTTCTACAAAGAAAAATTATGGTTGGCCGGATATTAAAAAGAATTCTCTCTATAGGACATCTGTAATCCGTAAATGTTTTAAGAAAAATATGAGGGGAAATAAACCTTTGAAGAGTGAGTTAAATTTAATTGAGGAGTTTATTTATAAAAACTCCAAAGTTAATCTTGTTGCTTTTGTGGGTTCATGGCCTTTACTGTGCAAGGTCTGACATGCAAGTTGTACTTCATGCATTTCAAATACCCTTGTGTTGCCTTTCAAAAGGGGGGGAGCTGTTTTTAGTCTTGGCTTAGATCCCAAGGTGTCTTGTTCTGCACCTTAAATTACAATCTGATTTATTGTAATTCAGATCAAGTTTGTCTGAAATTGGTAAGAACTTAATTATCAGATTAAGTTAATATTTATGCAGACTACTCGGTGGTTTAGCCACAGCTAACATGTTAGCATGAAGGGTTCTTATTTTCTGTTTGGATCAGTTTTTGAAAAAAAAATTATCTTTGCTCATTAAATGAAGCACTAAAAGACAGAAGAGATTGCTATGGAGACAAGATGTTCCATAAACGGTTCATTTTAATTCTTTAGGATACAAAAATAGAAAGGAGGCAACTTGGCTGCTTGTGTGGTCCAATCCTGAGAGGTGCTGCATGCCTCCAAGGGATGTAAAAGAGCGTCAACTCCCATTGCCTTTAATGGGGCACTGTGGTCTTTGCAGGATGAAGCCCAGCTTTTGGAAGTCATCGTGTATTTGCTAAACTGAGATGTGTAGAGCAATGGGAAATATTTAGACAATGTTTTCGAAATGATTTCTAATCTAAACTCCTTGTTAGATTAAAATGAATAGACCTTCTAAGATGATCCTTAGCTGAATTACTCTGAGTAAAAATACAGATGTATTCTGATGTGAAGACAGAATAATATGGTGAGAACTGGAAAATAGAAATCCTCCATGATTAGTTTTTAGAGTGTTGCAATAGTGATGCTGTAAGTAAGGCTGAGCTTGCGCTTCACTTTCAAGATTTTATTTGTAAGTGCTTGTTACTTTGCACCTTATATGATTGCTACTTGTAATTCAGTTTGTTTAATCAAATTGGAGAATATTTAGTGAACTCTTTTACATTATGGAAATGCAAAATACTATAATTGATTGAACAGACATAAAGATACTGTTTTCAGTGAATGAAATATCTTTGAGTATGTTAACTTGGTATCCCACGGCCCTTGCTCCATTCATCTGAGGAAGTGGGTTATGCCCACAAAAGCTCATGATACTGCCTACGTTTTTTGTTAGTCTCTAAGGTGCTGCAGGTCTGTTCAATGTTTTTTACGATTTTTTTATGGAACTGATAAGCTTACCATGGTAAAGTCAATGTGTCACCAGTTGTTTTTTTAAAGTTCCTTTTTTGGTTGAGATGGTGTATAAATATGGACTGCTATCAGTCATCACAACACAGTGGGTGTACAGACAGATCAGTAATTTTAAGCAGGGACACAGTCTGCCATTTCATATGGGGAATTTGAGGTCACAGATTTTTCACTTGTAGGAATAAAACCAATTTTCATTACTTGCATAAACAGATTTGGTAAGTAATTGCTTCTTAATGAAGATTCAGTCATTTTTCCTGCTTTTAATTATTGGTTCTGCTAAGTGGCAATTGGTTTTGAAATGATGATTGGTATATGTGCAATGCAGCATTGCGTGCTAGATTTTAGTGACAAAGATTCGGAATGATGAGCTCAAAATGGCAGCCATTACATCTTTTCATTCATGCTTCCCGCTTTGATGTCAACATAGTAAAAGAAGTAATTTTACCTATCTGAGGAGTGAAAAATACAATAGTGACATCATGCTAGAAGTCAAGCAGTGATTATCAAAAGCAGCACAAAACTGTCATAAGCTTGAGAAGACTAGAAAAGTGGTCTGAGCTATGAATTTTGAATACTGGTCTCGGGTCTGTCCTTTTTTTGAAGCAGAATCATACAAATCTACAACAGGAATTGATGAGAAGATGAACTAATTCACAGGTAAATAACTATGAGATCTTTGCAGGGCATTGAAGATAGTTTCTTGCAACATCAGAAATTCAAAGAGAGGAAACTATACTGAAGCACATCAAATATGATAAGAAGAAAACGCTGGACATGTTTAGGATACACTTTCAGGATGCCACCAGCATGCCCAGTCCTAGGGCAAGGTGAGCAAGGCAAATGCCTTGGGCCCCGTGCTGCTAAGTATTCACAATCCACCGGCCGGGCCCGGGCCCAGGCCTCTGCTCCCAGCATCCTGTCCTGGGCCCTGCAAACTCTTTGTGCTGGAGGCCAGGCCCAGCCATCTTGAACAGCAAGTGATAACATGGGTGCTCCCTGGAAAGAGAAAGAGGACAACCTAGAGCAGAGGTTTTCAAACTTGGGTTGCAGGCTCTCCTTGGCTGGAAACAGCAAACTGCAGTTAATGGGAGCTATGAGGCTCCATGCCTATGGACACTTAGATAAACAAAGCATCTTATGGCCCTGCCAGCCGCTTACCCGGGTGGGCCCGTGACCCACTTTTGAAAACCCCTGACCTAGAGAAGTAATATTTAGAACCACAGAGACAGCTAAATTCATCAACATGACATTCAGGAACTTGAACAGAATAGTACAAGACCAAAATAAATGGTGGAAACTGGTGGACACAGTACATACTCAAGAGTGCTGAACTATTTTAGAGAAAAAGACCCAAAAAGAAATTTCATTAAATGAGATAATGGATTGTCTCTGGTTCTACTCTTATTTATCTAGCATTTCATTCTGACACTTGTCTTTCTTTTGTTTTCTTAATTTAAATTTGAAAAGGGTAGCAATGTTGAAAAATGACTACTATTATTAGCCATGTACAATCTAACAGATCTTGCAGTAGTTACATTAACTATTATTCCCCACCAGTGCCCAACCATGCTAATCTTATTTAAATTCTTTTCAGCTGAGCACATATTCATAATACTGTAATACATTAGTAAGTTAATATATGTATATACATATAATATAGAAAAACAGAAATATTGAATAATAACAAGGTATTGCAAAGTAAAAAGGGTGTATCGTGGTTAGAGAATAAAAGGTACATGTGGCCTGTTCTCATGTCTGGAAACCTTAAAGAAACTGATATTAATGTCAGGCAATGACAATTTTCTGTTAGCTTCAATGTGTGGATGTGAATGACCCTGATATACATTCCAGCAGAGTTTGTTTCCTCAGAAAGAAATAAAGTGAAGTAAAGGCCTTGTCTGATCTTCATTCATATTACTTTCTTAAACCCAGATCTACACTCCTTATTCTAACTTAGCTTTTAGTTTGGGACACTGAACCTATGTAGTTATTTATTTCAGTTTCCTTTTATTGATACTGCCTTTATTAACATATAAATGGATTCACAGATATAAATATTAATAATTATGTATGAGGACATCCTTTTTGTTGTTTAAATATTATATTGTGTTAAGAGGTCAGGTACAATTGATTAATCTAATCAATTACATTAAATCAAAGGATGCCATTTATCCACAATTTCATATTTGATAAGTGTGGTTTTCATTTTTTGTCTTTCTAACATTTGAAATTTTAGTAATATATTTACTAAAATTATATATATATAAATATATATATAAATATATGTAAATAATTTAGTGAAGTAATATATATTTATATTTATTTATTTATGTATTTTGTCTGTTTGCTTGCAGGGATTTTTTCTTACAGTTTCACCAGAAGCAATATTAAAAGTGGCCATTCATTCTTCTGAAGCTAACAAGATCTTCACTTTGAATCTTTCTGCACCATTTATTAGCCAATTCTATAAAGAGCCACTTATGAAAGTCATGCCGTATGTTGACATCCTTTTCGGAAATGAGACGGTGAGTCTTTCTAAAAATATTTGATTGTCTAAAAATAATCTCCTCTGATTTTAGACCAATATATGTCTATAATAATCTCTGTTTTTTCTTTCTCCTTTAACATATACTTTAAGGAACTTTGTGGAACAGCACACTGTAAAATCTAATTTTCATTCTAAGTTTAAAAAGAGAGGGTTAAACTTGTGTAACGATTCAGTGGACTGCTAACCTGTTAATCTGTCATCTTGATAGGCTTAGTCTTAATGGCTCTTTCTGCAATAAAGTAAACACTTTCTTTGAGCAGGAGGAGGAGGATACTGGGAGTACATCTACATAGCAGCATTATTTTGAAATAACGTAGTGCACGTCCACATAGCAAGCCATTATTTCAAAATCGTGTTGAGACGGAAGACGTCTTACTCTGGCACCTGTAACTATGTAATCCTGTAACTCTTGTAAGAGCGTTCTTCCTTCCACTTCCTGCTGTGCAGACAGTACCAAAAGCCTCATTAAGCTATTTCAACTTCAGCTACGCAGCTGGCGTGGCTGAAGTTACGTATCTTAATTCAACTTTTGCCCTGCAGTGTAGACATTCCCACAGTTTATAAATTTCTCATTGATCTCTGTGAAAGATGGACTGGCAATGCATCTATGGAAATTCATTTTTGTTATGCTTTTTGGTGCAAGAGTGGGGTAGACAGATTGGTTGTGTTCAGTGCCCAGTCCCACTGAACTCAATGACAAAATAGCCGTTGAGTTCAACAAGGCTAATGTTTTACTGGTTGTATTGATATCACTTGGCATATTCTTAATTCACAGAGTTCTCTTGTGTTAATATGTTTGCTTACCATGAATAAAAGGGTGAACTCCTGAAGAAAGTCACATGAATAAATCAGCTGAGTAACTGGTCTACCCTTGAAATTTTTCCACCAGCTGGTGTAGAAACTTAAATTCATTATTGCAGCTTATCTAAGTTTCAAATCAGAGTAAACTTTACTGTACCAGTGATTTTTTACATTGGTGCAGCATGTCTGGCCTTGGAGTGTACATAGGTGCAGATACACCAGTGTGAAAAGTAGCATAAACTGGCTTTGAACTCTCTTATAAAGAATCAAAAATACCATAAATCTTTAGGTATAGTAAGTCTGCTAACCATGGACAGTTAGATGGGAGAAATATTTAACACTGACAGTTCTTCTTTGAATGCTTGTGGACATGTACTCCACTCAAGTGCGTGTGTGCCTAGCACACTGAAGTCAGCAAAATGGGCCTAACAGTGCCCACCGGGGTAATGCCCATGCCCTCTGGCCCTGAGCCCCTCCGCTGACTATTTAAGGGCAGCTCTGCCCTGACCCTGTCTGTCTTCTCCCCACAGTTCCTGCAGCTAGAGTCACTGCCTGCAGCTAGAGTCAGTACATTTTGTGTGGTATTTTACTCAGTCTGTTTAGGAGGATGTTGTATATAATAAATCATTTATATAGTTAGCAGTACACCCTGGTTAATTTGCAGAAATAGTTTAGATAGCTAGTTATCCCGTGTGATGCTATCATTGGGGTTTAAACATTGTGTGAGATGACTGTCCTCAATAGTGACTCCCGCCCATGCAGTTTGTTGTGCCTGGGGTAGGGACAGTTTAATTAGGTGCTACATCTGTAAGTGAATCCCAGACTCGCATTTGAAGCAGCCTTTCTGGGGCAAACTCTGTGGCCAACTTGGCACTGAAGACCTTCATGGATTGTTAGACTTCCCAGAGGATATCTGAGGCAGCATGGGCTCTCTTCCCCAGGAAGAAGAAAAACTGTTCTCCTTCCTCTGGTCCCACTACCAAAACCTTATAAAATAGACTGGAGTGGCTTTCCTCTTTCGCTTCTAAAAGTAGTGAAGACAGGCACTGTGATTTATCCAGTACCTAACGGAGAATGGCCATCTACCTGCTTTCCAGTACCAATGCATCTGGTGTGCTGAACTTCAGATGCGGCTGAACATTTGTTGTGCCTGCCAGAGTTGGCTCTTCCATTGCCTGTGGACTACTTGGAAATGTTCCTCAGCCTTGGGCTCAAAGATGTCTTTATCTGCTCGCAGCTTCCTGTTATCACTAGCAGAAGTCATCAGAACCTCCTGGGGATCACCATTAGTACCCACAGCAGCTCCAATCCTGTAGGAGAGTGAGGCATCCTTGGCCTAGTGCCTACTGGCCACTAATGCCATGCCCGTATCCAGAGTGGCTTCCTTGGAATCTCTGAGATGTGCCAAAATTGACATGGTCTCAATCCTTGGTGCAGTCTAGAATGCGATCTCCTATTCTGCTGGTAACAGTAAAAGGACATATGTAAGTTAAGCAAATAAGCAAGAAAATGCCTACTAGATGATATAATTGTTATTTTTTAGGACAGAGTAGCCTCACACACGATTTTACTCTTCTGTGTATTTATCGTCACTTCATATTATAGACCAACACAATTTTATTGTAGAGCACAGAGCTGTTTATTTTTTAGAGTAATGCTAAAAGCATCAAAGAGCAGCAGAATTCCAAATTGATGCCATTCCTAAACTAAAAACAATTGGCAAAATGATTTTAAATTACATCTTGTGCTTAAAAATTTACATCTGAATGGAGATTGGTTATTCTAAGTTTCAGCTAGATGATAATAAAAATGGGCAAGTTGTAAACCTCACAAAATAAATGTTCTAGTTTAGAATGTAAATGCCAATTGCAATGGTGGTGTTGAACATTGCTATAATAAACAGTTGTAGTTATCAGTCAGTAACTACAACAGTCAATTACAGTAACTATCAGTCAGTTATGAGTCAATGGCCATTGGTACGTTGATAATTTGTCTTTGAAATCTTTCAGATCTATCCAAAATATTTTGGCGTCAGTATTTGACATTTATTAACTAGACTTCACATAATAAATTAAATACAAAACATTCAATATAAGAATAATCATACAGCCATTATCTGTCAATACATGACTAGAGAACTTGATTATTGTCATTGCTTTTAATTTTTATTACATTAAATTTTTAGTGTGTCATTTTGCAAATGCTTCTTAGCAATAATATCTTCCAAACTACCGTAATCACTGGATAATTAATATACCAGGATTAAGCACACTTTACTTTGCCTCAGGATGTTTCTCTCAAATAAGGTCAGTTATCTCCTGATGATAACTGCTTTGTCCCAGTTGCTGCCTAATTCATCTATAAAAACTCACCTCAGAATCCATTCTCTTTACAACTCAAAGCTAACTTTCAGTAACAGCAGCGGCAGTTTAGGTGGCTAAAATATGAAAGCTTTGAAAATGACATCCAAATGAAAACTCTCCTAATGAGCAGATGATTTCGTCTTGCACAATAATTACTGTGCAAGCAGAAGAGCACACATAAGGAGATAAGTGAAGGATGAAGAGCAGTATCATAGCCACATGCTTTTTCTCTCACTTCCTTGAAAGCTCCATTCTATGTCTTGTGATGAGGGTTCCACAACTCTGGTAGGCCTGTTTTGGGTCAAAGGAGGATAGGGCCAGAAGCAGCAACTCTTTTCCCTCTCAATACCTGTGCCTCTTCTTAGGAGTATGAACACAAATTCCATCCCTCTCAAAGAAGGTGCAGAAGCTAATGCCAGCATCCAAAGGGTGGTGTAGTATATGCTGCCAGGGAAGTTGCCTGCAATCTTTGGGGCACGTGTTGGTTAGGAGTTTCTTGTCCTTGTACATTTCTGAGATCTGAGGGGTTCCCTGCCACTTCAGTACCACATTCCTGCCATGATAAGCGCCTCTGCCCCAGAAAGGACTATTTGTAAGGAAGTTGGCATGTGAAGCTTGTTACGTTTCCAACATCTATTCCTGTAGGATTTCTCTGTGGGAAAGGTAGAATGTTCATTTCTTTTCTTTCCATTGAAATAAGGTGTTAAGTGAGACGTCAGTCTGTTTTCGTAACAAACCCGCAAAGGCCAACAATGGGATTCATAGTTCACAAATCAGTGCAAGTTACAAGGGATGAGTAGAAGAGAATGGTGATCCCAAACATGAAGGTGAAATCAGTTTAATTTTGAATTTTAATAAGATTCCTTGAAAATCAGAACCCTCTTCTTGCCCATATGTGAAGCTGTTATTTCTGAAGTTTTGGTCTGTGAACAAATTAATTACAGGATTCTAAATCAGCGTTCTGCAATTACAGAGTACTGTTGCAATCAGATTGGGAAAGTGATGTTGGTATAACAACAAAAATGTTGTTATGAAAGGAGAACATGTGAAAGACTTGAACATTTGGAAAAGCAGTAACAATAGCTTCAATAATGGTTCTGGGGTCATGTATCCTGAGTTTTAGAAAGATGGTTCTGTCTGCATACAAAAACAAAAGAACACACAGGACTTGTGTTGACTGTATTCAGCATTTTTACCAAAATGGCTTATGGTACTTCCTTAAATTAAATTCTTGCAAATCGTATAACGTATGTAATAATAACATATGCAAATCCTTACAACAAGATATATTTTAAATAAAGTTCATACAGACAACACATTGGAAAATGTACTATTCAGTGATTCTACTATTTGCTTTGGTGCTGTCCATCCTATTAAATATACATTTACATTGTACCTTCTCTTGTTACTCCTCTTTCAATGACAAGGAAAAGCCTTAAGTCTAAAAGCACTGGCTATGGTTCCAGTTGTTCTGACTTTGAATTTGCTTTTGTGCACTGAAAGCTGGTTGGCCGGTTTATATCTCTTCTTGTGGCTGATTTATATCTTACCCTGCAAGAAAGGGTATAAACACTATTATGTTTTGCAGCATAAATAGATCCTGCCACCTATTTCTATTACTTGTGATATTGCATTGTGTTATAGACAACTTATTTCTGTGTAAAATACAGTGAATATTTGAGTTAAACTGAAGTCCAGCTTCTAAATTAGTTGTTAGAGCGGCGAGGAGTCCTGTGGCACCTTATAGACTAACTGAAGCGTTGGAGCATAAGCTTTTGTGGGCAAAGACCCACTTCGTCAGATGCATGTCAAA